AGCCTCACCGTGGATAGGAGCTCGGGCTTCAGAGAGGCACACAGGGCTGGAGTCTGGCTCTGACCTACCGACTGTGGGACCTCAGACGTGGTTGCAGCCGCTCCGACCCTCCGTCCCCTCAGTGGTGGACTCAGGTAATAAAAGCTCTCATGAAGAACAGGGGAGGGGAGGGGATAGTCTCATCGGGGCTGGGGGTGCACCCCCCGGCACACGGTTACCATAGTTAGTGTCATCCCTGGCACTGTTCGCCCACCTCCCCAGCATCTCTCCTCCTCCACCGCGCCCATCGGGCACAGCCCCAACAGGGGACCGTCCGGCATCGCCATCCCTGCAGAAACGCCTGGAGACGAGCCCCTCAGTCATGCTGCCCAGCCCTCCCCCGCCCCTCCCCCTCAGCGCTCCCCCACCTCGGTCTATTCCATGCCACGCTTGTCATTTTTCACGGCACAAAAAGGACGACGAGCCCCTCGTATCACTCACGGCACGACCTCCACAGCCAGAGTCCCCAGTCTGCGCCCGCACGGGGCCCAGTCCTGTGCCTGAAAACATAGGAACGGGACTGAGGCTCCTCTCTGCTCTTGAGAAACACCTTTGCTCTTAAGTGTCTTGAGCCAGACCCTTAACCTTCATAGGATTCGGGGCCGTGGGATAGGATGTTGCGAGAGTACTCGGTACCTCGCAAAACCATTTACAAATCTCAAGTGTTGTTACAGATCATATAGTCCCTAATGCCCTTTCGCGTAACCCTGTTTTTTCCCCCGGCTCATAGATCCCTGAAGAGGGCCGTGTACTTCGTATAGTGATCAACTGAACTCCCCAGAAGTGTTCCATAGATGCTTTTTATGACAACAGCCATATACATAAACTTAAAACGTGGACCCTCTACTTGGCGGGTTTTTCTTTTTCGAGGTGCGTAGAATACAGATACGAGATAAGCATCCCTAGATACTCAGAAGGGTATACATCTGTGCCATCCGTTAAACCCTGATTCGCTAGGCAGGGCGCATAAAGACGTCTGGGCCGTGCGTGACTTTATAGATGCTTCTCCCAAATGCTGGGGTCTAGAAGCAATCTACTTCGACAGTCCCGGGTTAGTGCTCCCTGCGGCCTGGGGCCTGGGACCGGGAGGCAGCGAGCCCGGCACGCTCACGGCCGGCGGATCAGAGCCGTGCACACGGGGGCTGTGCGCCCATGTGCGGGACCGCTGCCTGGCTGCCGTTGCCGCTGTTATCAGGAACTGGTACCTCTCTCTCCCCACGTAAACAATCAAGGGGAGGAAAGGAGAAAAACCTTAAATATTTGCTTTCCTCTACGAGACCACCTACAAAATGTTGTTGAGACCCTGCCGGCAAAATAATCTGTCATGAGTCCAGCTCTGGCCGAATATAAACACCTAGCATGCTCTGAGCAGAGTAGCCAGAAACTGCCAGATGTTTGCACAGGTTTTCCCCTGGGGAGGGAGGAGGGCTCGCCTTCCTCCGGTTTCTCTCCTCTCCTCCTGTTCTTTTCTTCCTGCCCCGTGAAGTACTTTATCAAAACAGTCTGGGTTAGAGATTAGGCAGGCGGAAAGAGTGACTTTTACGACCAAACCAGGGGCCCCTCTCGCCTTCTTTGAAGGGCGCCATGGCTCCGTCGGTTAAGCGTCCAACTTCGGCTCAGGTCGTGATCTCGGGGTTCGTGGGTTCGAGCCCCACGTCGGGCTCTGTGCTGACAGCTCGGAACCTGGAGCCTGCTTCCGAGTCTGTGTCTCCCTCTCTCTCTGCCCCTCCCCCGTTCACGCTCCGTCGCTCTCTCTCTCCGTCTCGGAAACAAATACGCGTTTAAAAAAATTAAAAACGAAAATAAAAAAAAAGAAAGAAATGGAAGGGCATCAGTACTGAAATGTTGGCTCACACGGGCTGTCAGCCGTGAGAAGACAGGGCCTCGGCCTCCACAACTGACCTGAAGCCAGAATGGAAGATGAGCAGGGGCGGGGGGAAAGGTCCGGAGCTGTGCGGACCAGAGGTCACCTCCACCTGCACCTGGGACATGGGCGATCCCGAGGATCCAGATGACTCGTTGGAAGGTTGTGAAAGCGAACTATTCTAATTGTCACCCGTGGCATGCCCCTTTGGCTCCCTGACAGGGCCTAGAAGAGTGGGGGAGCCGGGAGCCTGTCAGGTAGTCTCTCAGCAGATAACCCGAGAGGGTTGGGGGGTAGAGGGCAGAATTAAGCAGGGTCCTCTCTGGCTGTTTTCTGCAATTCCACTCTGACCTCCTTCCTCAGATCCAGAGCCGTGAGCAACGTCTTCCTCTAGCGAGCTTCCCCAAGCAACTGCCCTAAAAGTGGCCTTTGACTGGGGCCACCATCGAAACAGTCTGCTCCGCTCAGGGCCGTCACCTCCACAGGCCACCTCGGGACCTACGAGCTTCATTTGAGGAGCTGGAGGCACTGTCACCACCGTGGTCTTCACCTCCCTGACACCCCTGTGAGATAGGCAGGAGGTAAGTGTTATTATTCTCGGAGCCTCAGTTTCTCGATCTGTTAAAAGATAAATTAAATCAAAAGCACTATGGTAACACTGAGCTTTCACGAGGAGGCTAAGAGACGTCATGGCAACTCAGGGAAAACTCTTAGCACGGCGGCTGGCACATACCAAGTACTCCGTGACTGTCGTCAAGAAAAGCCAACGGCCCAACCAAATAAACGAGAAGCCGTTGTAGATCTCGGAATTGTTACGTGACTTTCGTCTGCATTCATCATCTTCACAGCCCCACGGAGCATGTAGGGGGTTGTTGGGGTTTAGCCCCCAAATCTGAGCCCCTGGTTTGTTCCTAAGTTGTCAATAAAGGTTGAAACGTCTGGACTATGGTCGGAACACAGTCAGCTGAGATGTTATGCCCACACAGGTGACTCCCGTGCAATCGACCCCCCAACCCCACCTCGTACCAATGCTGAGCTGTGTTAGCACCAGGAGGCTGAGACATTGCAGCACGCTGCTGGGTCAGCCATCCACGCTTGGAAGGGCTGGAAGGCAGTCTCAGTGCTGCTTCTGAGGGACAGAATCACCTGGCCAGGCTGACCTGAGGGCGCCTTCCCGAGCTCAGCCTGAGCCCGTGCGCCATCTCCTTTGGCAAGGAGAATTCCCCCTACTGGCAATGCAGCCATTGCGTGGACCCACCCGGTGGATCAGCTGCACCAGGTACTAGAAAAACAACTCCAGGGGAGGCTCATCTCGAGCCCAAGCTGCCATCTTCCCTCCCTGGAACTTCCGCAATGGTCTCCGCCTGGCCTTTCCACGCACCCCAGCTGTTTTGTCGCCATGCTCCTAACTGTAGCCAGAGACCTCCACTACTTCTGGAATAAAGTCCAGACTCCTTATCAAGCGTGTGAGGCCCTGCAACCCTCACGGAATTTGCCCCACAACAATGCTGCGTTTCAGGGCTTACGTTGTTCCCACCCCCAGGACTTTTGTACACATGGCTCCTCTCTTCTAGAAGCTTCTTTGCCCCCCAAACTCCCCACTATGTGCCCTGGCACAGTTAACGTCCCTTAACCTTCCAGATTTCTATTCAGTTTCCTTTAAGGAAGCTTTCCCCAACCTCCCAGGCAAGGCTGGGCTTTGACATTTGCCTATAGTTCTCCTCACGGACTATGTCATAATTCGTGAATCTATATTTGACCGCATGCTTGATTATTTGATATCTGCCCCAATTTCAACACTCCGCAAGGGGCACCGAGGCACAGGTCATGTCTCCCCATCTAGGACCAAGGACAGCATGTAAAAAGCTCTCCTTCTGACGGCTGCTGAGCTCTTTGAGGAAGGCAGTGCTGTTTACAGAGCACGTTACTCGCGGTGGGTCCTGGGCCAAGGACGCTTAACATCTCTGGACTTCATTTCCTCATCTGCAAGAAAGATGATAACAATAAAGCTTGTCCCCCCCCCCCCCATGGTGGCTGTGGAATTTAAGAGAGTTGATAGTTAAAAGTACATGAAACAAGGCCTGAAACACGGTACACACTTTATAATTCTTGGCCCTGATGACAATGACTGGACTCCGAACGGATTAAAGACCCTCATGGAAACAGTAAAACCATAAACCTAATAGGAAAACTATCAAGTTATATACATTCCTGGCTTTGTTACCTACCAGTGAGGCAAGACTTCTCAAATAAGGCTTTAAGAGTACAAATCACAGGCAAAAAGACAGAAGCAGATTAGTTACATGAAAATTAAAACCTTTGTTCAACAAAGGACACTCGTAAACAGGTTGATGACGGATTAAGAGGTTATTTATTTTTCTAACGGCTACAATCAGCAAGGAACTAATATCTAGAATACGCAAAAGGCCTTGTAAGTTTGAATAAACAAAAAGAGACAGGAACCCCAGTAAGGTACAGAGAAGAAAACTCAGAATCATAACCGGCATATGAAAAGTGTTCCGACGCACCAGTTATTAGAAAAACACAAACACACGGCAATGTGTGTCCACTCCACGCCTGTCATTGGACCACCATTCGAGTTGAAAGGTGGACGGTTCTGAGTCCATGTCGCTTGTGAGGGCAAAGTTCCCTCCTGCACGCGGGGGGACTGGAGACCCCCCGCAAGGGTAATTCTGCTGAGTCTGCACCCACCAAAACCCTCACTCGTCCAGGAGGAGCTGGCAGAATGTTCCCGCAGCACTGTCTGTGGTAACCCTGGAGACAGCTACGGGCCGTCTGCCGCCCACGGGAGAGTTTCATGGAGTCACGCAGGCAAGAAACATTCTGAGCAACCTGGACAGGGGGCATCGGTGAAAGGCAGGAAATAGGTGAGTTTGCTAACGGGATGTCCCGGACATCAATTTTAAAACGCCTGCGAGAAAGGGCACGCGGGGGGCTCAGTTGGTTAAGCGTCTACCTCTTGGTCTCAGCTCGAGCCTTGATCTCAGAGTTGTGAGTTCAGTTCTTGCATTGGGCTCCACACCCAGCGTGGAACCTACTTTAAAAAAAAAAAAAAGATCCCAAGACCCATACATACAAAAAGAAACATGGCTGCCCATGGAAGGAGTGGATGGAAGAAATGGACTGGAGCAAGAAAAGGGAAGTATCAAGAAGCAAACAAGGCAGGAGTAACTCAATCCTTGGCCCTTAAGGTTCAAAGGGAAAGGAGAACAAAAATATTGAACAAATAAACAGCCCGTAGAACTTACACTGGACGAAACTGAAATGCTCAGTGCGCCCACAGACGATCCCCTTCCTCCATGGATGACTTTGTAACCACGACCTTGACATTCTCCTGTGTTATTAATCCCACACCAGCGCCCTGTAAGAATCCTAACATCTCCCAGATCCTCTCTCTCACCACCAGGTCCAAGAAGGCACCTAGCCCTGGGGACTGGGCTTCTAGAGAACTCTCTTTCCACGCATCCCCAGCCTTTGGCCAGCCACAGCCAGGCTCTCCCTGCCACAGCCAAGCCCCTCTCCCTTCTTCACCAGCCATGTCTGCGTGGTTCCAAGAGCAGGTCCCTCGTGCCACTCTCATGCTTTAAATCTCTGTCTCCTGACTCAAATTAAACTTTTCATCAAGTATATGACTTGCTCTACGCAGGCTGCCATAAGAAAATACCACAAGCTGGAGGGCTTAACAGCAGACATTTGTTCCCCATGGTTCTAAAGGCTATAAGTCCAAGATCAAGGGGTCAGCAGATTCTGTTCTTGGGGAGGGCTGTCATCGTGTCTCAAAGATGTCCTCACGTGGCAGAAAGAGAATGAATATCTCTCTCTTCCTCTTCTTATAAAGCCACTAATCCCATCATGGGGCCCCACCCTCATGACCTCATCTAAACCTAATTACCTCCCCCAAAGTGCCACCTCCAAATACCATTGCACTGGGGGTTAGGACTTCAGCATGTGAATTTGGAGAGACACAAACATCCAGCCCACAACAGCACATCAGGCCCTCCACAATCTGATACCAACCTATCCCTCCAAAGCACCCCCCACTGCACCCACCCAGACATCTTTCGCACTGCTTCTCCCTTCCTTGTCTTTATGCGTGCTGTTCCTTCCAAATCTGTCTGCCGGGAGAACCTGTCCTCATACTCCAGGATCCGGCTCTAGTCCCCCTCCCTTGGGGAAGCCTTCCTGGTGCCCTTCCCGGGCAGTATTGATCCCCCTTTGAGACACCATGGTGTCTTGTGCACATTTGAGCCTCCCAAGTAGGTTAAGTGCTTGGTCCCTGTGGTTCCTGTAGCCCCTGTGCTCGCCCAAGTCAAGGCACCGTGGGGTAGCTGCTTAGATGCTATCTGCTTCCCTCGTAACGTGAGCTCTTCAAAGAGGGAAGCAGACCTTTCTAAAAACTGACAAGCCCTAGCAGGGTGTTGGGCACATGGCAGGTGCTCCAAAGATACCTGCTGGATGCTGGAATGAGTGGCTGATTAATAAACGTAGCCCTGGGGGGGCACCTGGGGGGCTCAGTCGGTTGAGCTTCCGACTTCGGCTCAGGTCGTGATCTCACAGTTCGTGAGTTCGAGCCTCGCGTCGGGCTCTATGCTGACAGCTCAGAGCCTGCAGCCTGCTTCGGATTCCGTGTCTCCCTCTCTCTCTTCCCCTCCCCCCACTCATGCTCTGTCTCTCAAAAAATCAATCGATGTTAAAAAAAAACTGAAAATAAGAACATAAACATAGCCCTAGCACAGTGAGCTGTAACCCATCTGCCCATGCTTCTCTCTCCTACGTTAGGAGATGAAGCCCTCGAGAATGGGGAGAGCCTTACCCAGTTTGCATCTCTAGTGCTGGCACAGGCACGCCCATGGCGCGAGGGAAAGGTGTGCTTCACTCACTGGTTCTGGCTCTTCCAGTACTTGGACAACTTACAGCCACTGTTTCTCTTAAATCCTGACCGTCGGGGACAGCCTCCGGGAAGGCGGGGGCAGGGAGGGTTGCGGAGCCCGCTTCGAACCCCAGCTTTGTATCCCGGCTGAGTATCCCAGCTTTGGAGGCTCAGACACCGGGAGCAGCCAGGGGACCCAGCATGCAGCGGGAACGGGGGAGCCACAGGGAAGGCGTGCATACCTTGTGGGCAATGCGTGCGTGCCAGAGAGGGGCGGGGGGGGGGGTGTCTGGGTGACTGGGAGAGTGAAGGGTCAGTGTGGTGCAGCCATGACAAACAGAAGACCCGTCAGAGAGCATGCTTGCTGCCAGGAGGAAATCAGAGCGCATCAAAGCCCTGGCCTCCTTTGGCTCAGACCCTCTGACCAGCCCCTCTGCAGACCCAGCCACGGAGCCCTCTGCACTTGTTCTGTGCCTCAGACACTGGTTCTCTTTCTCTTAAAAAAAAAAAAGAAAGAAAGAAAGAAAGAAAAGAAAAAGAGAGAAGAGAAGACTAATTAAAAACAAACGACTTACCCCCTCTCCATCAGCTTTCAGGATTGCGTTGCAATCGTCTCAAGGATTTAGAGATCTTTTTCCTCCGAAACCGTGGCGATCTCATTATTTATTCACTCTAGGCGTCTTCTCGCCGCTGAAATGTGCACCCTGAATTCTCGTCTGCCAGAGGCTTCGAACGATGAACTGATCAGAGCACTGAGCCTGGAGTCCAAGCCCTGGTCCACTGTGCCTCAATTTCCCCGCTCAGAAGGCAGTGGACCCGTTGGTCTGTGAGGCAGCACCACCCAACAGAACTTTCTGTGGGGAGGGAAAGGTCCTACATCTGCACTGTCCAGCCCAGTAACCCCTGGCCACATGTGACTTTGAAAGGCGTCTAGTGCAACAGAGGACTTAGTTTTTAATTAAGTGGATGAATGAATATTAACTTATATTTAACTGGACAGTGCAGCTCTCAGATGTGACCTAGAGCAGACGTTACACTTATGTCCAAAAATCGCCTTTCCCCTACTTCGCCTGGCCATTTCCTCCTCGTAGGGGTAACGGGTTATTCACTACAGGGGACCTGTAGACGTAGGACCTGGGCCAGGATGGGCAGAGTTGAGCGTCAGAGAGTGGGGAGCACCAGGAGAGCAGTGGCACCATGAGGAGGCAAGGACACCTGGGAGGCACCCAGAGCTCCAGCAGACACGGGGCAAGAGCAAGAGAGCAGGGCTAAGTTCAAGTACTCTGGCGCCCGGGGCTCTCCGGCACCCAGCTCAGACTTTGCTATACTCTGCTATTCAGCCAGAACCGAATCTCCCTGGACTAAAACCAAAGTGCTCCTTCTGGAGACTCCAGGAAAACATATTTCTTTGCCTTTTCCAGCTTCTACCGGCTGCCCACGTTCCTTGGCTTGTGACCCCTTCCTTCATGCTCAAAGCCAGTAACTTTAGACCTCATCCTTCCCAGATCACATCACCATGGTATCCTTCACGTCTCCTTCTCTGCTCTCTCCTGTCTCCGGTATCACATTTAAGGGCCTTGTGATTATACTGGGCCCACCAGGGGTCAGCTGATCAGCAATCTTAATTCCATCTGTCACCTTAATCCTCCTTTGCCAGGTAACCTATAGAGTCATAGGTTCTGAGGATTAGGATGTGAACATCTTTGGGAGACAACTCTTTTGAGAACGACCAAGCCTTAGCAAGAGAGGAAAAGAAGGCAAAGTTGCCCTAAGCAAGGAGCCGTGGCTAGTGGGCCACACCAGGCAGAGGGCAGAACCCCAGAGTGGCCTGGCACAGAGAGGGGGTCTAGGTCATCAGACATCCATGAACAAGTCCCGGGAGGGCCTGGAAATCACCCCGGCCTGGTAGGAGGACAATGCAAATCCGGCAGGGCTGGCGTTGGGAAGGACTCTCTCGAGACGACCCAGAGTGACACAACAGTGAATGAGCAAGCTGAAACACACATCAGCCAGGATCCAAAGTATGTCCAAGGGAAGTCTAGAAGCCAGAGCTGCTCCTCTTAAGGTGGACTGTAGCTTTGTCCCATCCTCATTGCAATGTTTATATATTGTAAAAATTACACTTGAAAACTGGGATTACGAGTTTGCTCGGTGACAAAGGAGCTCCAGTTTGCGGTTTATTCTACGGTGTATCAGGGAAAAAAGAGGAGGAGGGCTATTTGGGGGTGGGAGTGGGGGCTGGAAGGAGAGAAGAGAGAGATCCAGCCGGGACCAAGGCAGCTCTATTACTCAGAATTCTCCAGAGAAACAGAGCAGAGTGTATATACAGAAGGAGATTTATTATAAGGAGTTGGCTCCCATAGTTATGGAAACTGACAAGTCCCAAGATCTGCTGTTGGCAGTCTAGGGACCCAGGAGAGCAGATGTTTTGGTATGAGCCCAAAAGCAGGAAAACACTCAAGTCCCAGCTCAAAGCACTCAGGCAGGAGGAGGTCCCGCTTCTTGAAGAAGAGTCAGCCTTTTTGTTCTATTCAGGCCTTCGAGGGATGGGCTGAGACCCACCCACATTGGGGAGAACCAACTGCTTTACTCTGTCCACGGATCCAAATTTTAATCTTATCCCCAAACACCCTCAAAGACACACCCAGAACAATGCCTGACCAAAGGTTTGGGCACCCCGAGGCCCAGTCAAGTTAACACATGAAACTGACCCTCACAGCAGCCAATGTCCCCGGGCACCAGTCAACGAGTAGCCCAAAGGTACTGTCCTTGCAAATTCCAATAGCAGCCAAGACTCTCAGGAGAAAGGGTATGAACACTCTAAGTTGCTAATGGGAACCATCAATATGCCACATTCTGGTGGCTGTATCCCAACGACATTTCTCCCCTGCCCCTCTCCAGACACACACCCTCACACCCTGACAATGTGGAACGCAGCCCTCCTCTGTGCTCCTAGACCTTGGTGCAGCCTTTTCTATCACAGACCTTAAGTACTGGACACTCATCGCTGGTTTACTTTTCCCTCTCTTCCTAAGCGGTGGGCTCCCGGAGAAGAAGACCGTGTAGACTGGGTATTCCCAGAGCCCAGCAAATAGCAAATGCTTATAGAGTGTTCACTAAATAAATGCAGCAGTACAAGTTGTAGTAAAGCCATGGCTATATTTTTTAAGGTTTAATTCATTTGGGAATAAGTAAGAGGTTACACTAGCTCCAGGAGCAGAAATACAGGCCATGAAATGAATTTCCAAGTCAAATAGGTACGCCTTTTTCCTTGAGAGTGGAAATAAATTGGCTTCTACCACACGGAATTTATAAGTGTGCCTGCAGGCAAGGAACATTTACTTTGCTATCATTTACCAACAACTTACAGAGTTGTAAACTAGCCCAGAGACAAGGAAAGTTGTCAAGAGAATCAGATAGCTCAGAAGGTGAGGCATGAAACACTAGTTTTCCATTGAGGACATCCGAGAGTATTTTTGGCCACTTCAAATTCTATCACATTTTTTTCCCGACAGTGTCTGTCCCCTGCAATCATACTAGTCTCAAAGAAAGATTATTCTTTTTTTTTTTTTAATTTTTTTTTCAACGTTTATTTATTTTTGGGACAGAGAGAGACAGAGCATGAATGGGGGAGGGGCAGAGAGAGAGGGAGACACAGAATCGGAAACAGGCTCCAGGCTCCGAGCCATCAGCCCAGAGCCCGACGCGGGGCTCGAACTCACGGACCGCAAGATCGTGACCTGGCTGAAGTCGGACGCTTAACCGACTGCGCCACCCAGGCGCCCCAAGAAAGATTATTCTTGAGCACAAAATAAGGCTTCCATCAAGTTTGGCTTGGTTATTTCCACAGTGCCCACTACTCCACAGCCCCCTTGCGAGCGCTTTGAAGCGTCCAGAACTAGCCACAAAATTGCCTTGTATCTGGACTTTGCATGAGGGATCAGCTTGGATTTTAAGAACTTTTCTTATCTGCTCTTCTGAAGCTAGAAAACCATACCCACGACTCCACCAGCTTTCTCCTGCAGAGTCCTATACATTTCAATTCTTTTCTGGAAGTCTCCCAAATATCCTAAGCTTCCTAACCCATCAGGAGGTAACCTTCCAGAACACCAACATGGCTGACCCCTGGGAGCCAGCTACTAGGTCAGTTTTTCTCAAAGGATTTTGTAGACATTGTCTTGAAAAGCACAAATTTTATACCTGATTTAGCGAGCATTGTTCTCAGATACAATGCTCCACATACCTTTTTTTGTACCATCAATTTGTTTAATTATATCACGATTGAAAGGAAGACAGTTTCTTACTGAGCCTATGCTCAGTAAGAATATCTAGAATTTCCAAGAGCAGTAAGGAGACTTACTTAGTGTCTGAATTCTGTGAGCTGAGCGAAAATTTAAGATCGCTTTAAGTGTTTTATTTTGCTTTGCCAAAATGGAATTTACTAAATTGTGGTGTATTACACAGAGCACTTAAGAAGAAAGAGAAAAAAACATCCTTTTATATGCAGAAAATAGAAAGTAAAACAAATACACAAAACACCAAGATAGATAATCACAATAAAATTTCTTTCTAGGGGCGCTTGGGTGGCTCAGTCGGTTAAGCATCAGCTTCGGCTCAGGTCATGATCTTGAGGTTCATGAGTTCCAGCCCTGAGTCAGGCTCTGTGCTTACAGCTCAGAGCCTGGGACCTGCTTCCGATTCTGTATCTCCCTCTGTCTCTGCCCCTCTCCTGCTCACACACACACACTCTCTCTCTCTCTCTCTCAAAAATAAACATTAAAAAAAATTAAAAAAAACCTTTTCTCTCCATTCATTCAGTCCTATGAAATCACTGTTGTTCTGCTGAATCTTGGGCTATTACTCTCATGAAGCCATATGTGTCTCAACTAAAATATTCTGGAAATCCTGACTCAGCCTACTGGCGTAGCCTAAAAGTTGTTGAAGTGATGTCAGCTCAAAAGCCTGTACCCAAGAGTCTAGTCTCGTCAGTAGTTTGAACTACCTGGTACGCTTCTTTTCCATGAGTCACTGAGATGGTCTTTGTTGAAGACATAATCTCTGGTCTGTACTTTATCACAAAACCTCAGGCAAGCTTTAGAACTAACAAAAACTCTCCGTACATTACGAAGACTTAATGACTCTTGTTAACTTGTTACTTGTAACTTTTAAATATAGAAGGTCAGATGAGAGTTCCCAATGATAGGCATCTGACCCAAAAATGTGCTTGTTCCTCTGCATGCAAAACAAAGAAAATAGTGCCGTTCCAAAAGACTTTTTTTAGACAAAATATTTTTTAAGAAGAGTGATTAAACTTCTTTTCAAAAAGCTCAGCGAATGTTAAGTCTGATTTGTAATGAATGGATATAATTTTTGTAGAGGAAAAAAATTGAGATATACTTACAATAATCCTAGAACATATGGAGGGAGGTAGGGGTGGTAAGGGAAATCAGGTTGTTTCTTCACTGGACAGAATTTATTTGCATGTCTAGTAACAAGAATTATTTACTTTGCTGCAATTGTCTACAATTCACAGTCACAAAATAGCCCAAAGGCAATGAAACGTGCAACTGCCCAGAAATGGAAAACTCACAAGGCTCTGCCCCTTGTGAAACTATATAACCTATAGTTTCTCACTGAAGAAAAACAGCAATTTTTTTGTTCCACTGAAAAATCTTCTCCTTATTGCTCTTGGAAAGATGGTGGAGAAGGAAGCACCAGGACTCTAGCTCCCCTCCTACACAAAAATTGCACCAGCAGAATCTGTCTGATGTGACTGTTTTGGGACTCTGGGGAGAATTTTCTTCCTGGTTAGTAGATGGTTGTCTTCCTGCTGTGTTGTCACATGGCAGAGGGGGATGGTAGGAATAGAGGGAGAGAGAGAAAGAGAGACAGAGAGAGTGCTCTGGTATCTCTTTCTTTTGCTGGAAGGACACCAGTCCCTTTGGATAAGGGCCACACACTTTTAATGTCTTTTAACCTTAATTATTTCCCTAAAGGCCCTTTCTCCAAAGACAATCAAAAAGAGGGTGAGGACTTCAACATACGAATTTTGGGAGAACATAATTCAGTCCATATCAAGAGACTACTGAAGGTTTGCAACTTCCAGGAGAAGGCTCGGACAGTAAACTGTAATTAATTTCAGTCAATTTCAGCTCTTAGAAAAGTAGCAGCTACCCATCCTCCAACCTCCAGCCCCGGGACAAGCATCTCTGCCCACATTCCAGGAGAAGCTCACACACAGCTTGTGAGAGCCATATTGGACACTAAGGAACTTATTCTCCAAGTAATAGGAATCTGTGCTCTGATCACTGATTGCTACTTCTGACTGCGGAGGTTCAGACATATAGGTGAGCAGCCATTGTCGCAAGCCCCTCCCCCTCTTGTTGAAGGGACTTCCTGGGGACTTAAAGGGCTGGAGTACCATTTTCCCTTCATTTTGCACTTTTTCTCCCTTTTGAGAGACAGACATTTAAGGACCAAGATATTCAAAGCCACAACATATAGCAGGGGAAAACATAAACTCAGAAGACCTGAGAAGACCTTACATTTACACCTCAGGCTTATATCCATGGCAAAGAGACACCCTACAACAACAACCACCAGCAAAGCCTGGGAAATGGGGAGAATTGAATCTTCAGAATTACCACATTGTAAGACTCAAGTGTCCCATTGTCAACAACAGCAACAACAAAAAATCACAAGGCAAACCAAAAAACAGAAAGGTGTGAACCATTCAAGGGAAAAAAATAAATCAACAGAAACTGTCCCTGAGAAAGATCAGATGGTGGATTTACTGGACAAAAACCCTAAAAACTGTCTTCAAAATACTTGAAGAGCTAAGGCAACACGTGGACAAAGTCAAGAACATGACATGTAAACAAAATGAAATATCAATAGATAGGAAACATTGAAAAGAAACCAAAAAAACATCTTGGAACTGAAAACTACAATAACTAAAATTAAAAAAAAATGTACTAGAGTGATTCAGGAGCAGATTTGGCAGAATAAGAAAATCAATGAACTTGAAGTTAGGACAATCGGAGTTATTGAATCTGAGAGACAAAAAGGAAAGATTGAAGGAAGTGACCAGAGCCTAGGCACCTATGGGACACCATTAAGCTGATGAACATACACATTGTGGTAGTCCTAGAAAGCACACAAAGAGGGGCAGAGTATTCACTTGAAAAATAAACAAAACATCCAAAATTTGATGAAAACCATGCATATAAACACCCAAGAAGCACAATGAACTCCAAGTAAGATAAACTCAAAGAGACCCACGTGGAGGTACATTGCAATCAGACTTTCAAAAGCAAAAGACAAAGAGAAGATCTGAAAGCAGCAAGAGAGAAGCAACTCATCACATCCAAAGGATCCCTAGTAATATTTTCACCAGATTTCTCATCAGAAATCTTGGAGGCCAGAAGACAGCGAGTTGATAGATTCAAAGTGTTGAAGAAAAGAAAAACTGTCAACCAAGAATTCTATAATCAGCAAAACTGTCCTTCAAAAAAATGAGAGGAGTTAAGATATTCCCAGATAACTTAAAACGGAGAGAATTCATAATGTCTAGACCTGCCCTGGAAAAAAAAAAGGAGTTCTGCAGGCTGAAGGACAGTAGATGTTCTCAAAGCTTAATGATCTCAGGTAAAAGTAAATACATGGACAATTATAAAAGCTACTATTTCGTGAACTTTGGTTTGTAACTCCACTTTTTGTTTTCTACATGACTTAGGAGACTATGCATAAAGAGACAATGGTTAGTCTGTTTTTTGGACAGAAAGGCATAAAATGCATAAAGATGCAATTTTGTGACATCAACAACTGAAATAGAGTCAATGGTGTCTAGCAGCAGAGTTTTTCTTTATGTTATTGAGTTAAGCTGGTATAAATTCAAATTACAGTGTTATAATTTTAAGATGTTAAATGCAATCACCGTGATAGTCATAGGCACACACGAAAATAGCTATAAATAAACAGAATGAGAAGGGAATTAAAATGCTTTAATACAAAAAATTACTAAACACAAATAAAGACACTAATGCAAGAAATGAGTGAGGGGCGCCTGGGTGGCTCAGTTGGTTGAGCGGCCAACTTTGGCTCAGGTCATGATTTCATAGTTTGTGAGTTCGAGCTCTGTATCGGGCTCTGTGCTGACAGCTCGGAGCCTGGAGCCTGCTTCAGATTCTGTGTCTCCCTCTCTTTCTGACCCTCCCCTGCTCACGCTCTCTCTCTCTCTCTCTCTCTCTCTCTCTCTCTCAAAAATAAACATTAAAAAAATTTTTAATAAAAAAAATTTAAAGATAAAAAAATGAAATTAGTGACAAATTAGTTATGAAGTGTATAGAAAACAAATAGCAAAATGACAGAAGCTTCTGCTTATCAGTAATTACTTTAAGTATAAATGGATTAAACTCTCCAATCAAAAGCTGAGATTGGTTAGATTTTTAGAATGGATTGAAAAACATGACCCCACTATATGTTGTCTATAAGAAACTCACTTTAGATTCAGATATGCAAATAAGTTGAAAGTGAAAGCATGGGGAAAGAGATTC